GGGGGGGAGGGGCGGAGATGGGGAAGCGGGGTAAAGGAGGTGCTAAAATCTACAAAATTCTGAAATGAGAGGATAAAAGCATGGATAAAAATAAGTAAAATAAGCTATTTTTTCATTTTTTGAATGTAACTAATGCAAAAATTTACCCGATATTTTTGTTGCAACTAATTTTTTCTTTGTAAATTTTGTTTTGGAAAATATTAAGCACAGTGACATCCTCCATTGGAAAACGACAGGTTAGTAAGTAGTGCCATCGCTTGCAAACCTGCAAATGTATGCATATAAAAATAAAAGCGGATCAGCTGTACGGCAAAAAAAGCTTGACATGGAGAAGCCGATAGTGTCATGATTTGTTAAAAAATCACGATTTGAAGAATCCGGAGATAGTGAAAATGAGGAACCCGCTTCTTGCCCCGGCCCAAATTTTTGCAAAAAAAAATTCCGTTCGCGTCAAAGAGGAACAAGAAATCGTGAAAAGGAATCGAAACTATATGTGCAAAGGTGCGATAAAATCCTCAGTAATCAACACTTGGTCAGCGCGCCGACTGCCACTGTGAGGATGCGTTTTTTGCACAATTCCCTGCAGGCTTTTGTCGCCAGCGTCGGTGTTTTTTCGGCAGATGCTTCTAGCTAGAAGAATTGAGACTGACCACCATGACTGTCAGAAAACACCTACTTAAAATTTCACCTTTCCAGCTTTTCTGACTCCCGGATTAGCAACTTATCCGCCAAAAATTTTCACGAGCCCGTAAGTGAGAACTACGTATACCTGCTGGCTGGGTTTGAACTCATTAAATCCTCCGTGGACGGAAAAATCCCCTCAAAATTCCCGCCTTCTAGCTTTTCATGTTCCCGAGTTAGCAATTTACCCGCAAAAAAATTTTCACAGACCCGTACGTGGAAACTAAGCGGGCAAAAAATCTATTTTAAGGGTGGGGCCTCCTAAATGCATTTAGATTAAGTTTTCAGAGTTTCAACCTTGTAACCTTTGTAGGTCTCGAGATGAAAAATCCGCAGAGACGAAACACACAGACAGACAGGTACACACAGACAGATGGATACACACACACCGACAACCCCTACTGACAATATGAGTTTTTGCATTGCATAGATGCAAAAAAGGCATAAAAAGGACTTAAAACAATTAAGAACTATGAAGACGGGAGATACAGATTATCTTATTTTTAGCAATCTCCGAATTCTTCGAGCCGTGACGTGTAAACCATTACAATACCGGCCACTGTACTTTAAATCCAGCGGCCGAAGGTCATATTTATGCATATCTACATAATGCAGTGGCTGATGCTGATTCCACTAAAAC